TTTAGTTCATACCCCAGGTAGGTGACTGTTTGTCTACAAATTTGGGCCTTCTTTGCACTGGCCCAATAGCCCAATTTTCTCAGCTCCTGGAGGAGGTCTCCAGTGCCTTTCCAGCATTCAGCTTCAGATGCAGCTGCCAGAAGCAAGTAATCTACATACTGTAAAAGTGTGATGGAACTGTGGCTCTGGTGATATGAGTCCAGATCCTGATTAAGAGCCTCATTGAACAGAGTAGGGGAGTTTTTGAAACCCTGTGGGAGTCTAGTCCATGTTAACTGTCCGGGGGTTCCCGTATTTTCATCATGCCATTCGAAGGCAAAAATGTGTTGACTGTTGGGTGCCAGGGCTATGCTAAAAAAAGCATCTTTCAAGTCCAAAGTGGTATACCAAACATGGGAAGGGGGCAAATGGCTCAGCAAGGTATAGGGGTTGGGGACTGTGGGGTGGATGTCTTCAACCCTCTTATTTACTTCCCTTAAATCTTGGACTGGCCTATAGTCTTTTCCCCCGGGTTTCTTAATGGGGAGGAGTGGAGTGTTCCAAGCAGAATGGCAGGGCCGTAATATTCCGGCCTCCAGGAGACGGTTAATGTGAGGGGCAATCCCCCTCCGTGCCTTGGAAGACATGGGATACTGACGGACTCGGATGGGCTGAGCCGAAGCCTTGATTTCTACCATTACCGGTGCTCGATGTTTCGCCAGCCCCACACCTGTTATTTCTGCCCAAGCCTGGGGGAAGGTTTGAATCCAATAAGTCATTTCAGGGGACCACTCAATAGGTTTCAGGGGAGGGTCCTGCAAGGAGAACAAGCGATGTTCATCCTCAAGAGACACAGTCAAGACTTGGAGGGGCTGTCCTCGTCCATCAATCATTTTGATTCCATCCGGCTCAAAGTGAATGTGAGCCCTCACCTTAGTTAGCAGATCACGCCCCAGAATGGGGGCAGGGCATTCAGGAATGACCAAAAAGGAATGGGTCACCTGATGCCGGCCCAAATCCACCTGATGCTTGCTAGTCCATTGATATGCCTTGGATCCAGTGGCTCCTTGCACGAGACTAATTTTCTGAGACAGTGGCCCAGTAGGTTTATTTAGAACTGAATATTGAGCCCCTGTGTCCACCATGCATCTCACGGGCTTCCCCTCCACATATATGGTTACCCAAGACTCAGGGAGGGGTTCTGAGTCCCATCCCCTCTAGTCATTGTCCAATTCAGTTAACAGGACCCGGGTGTCATTGTTGGGCCTGCTATTTGGCCTTAAGCGACCCTGGAGCTTGGGACATTCTCTCTTCCAGTGTCCATATTCCTTACAATAGGCACATTGTCCCTGGCCTAACCGGGGCTGATCTCTTCAGGGATGGGGGGGCCAGTCCGTCCAGAGCCCAGTCCAGCCAAACCTTGGACCCCTGCTAGCAATATTTTAGCCATTTCCTTCTGCTGTTTCTTGTTTTCCTTACTCTGGTGTTCCCTGTCCTCCCTCTGAATCCTTTCTTATAGTTCTTGATTTTCTTTCCTGATTCTATCCTCTCGCTCTTCCGGGGTTTCTCAGGTGTTAAAAACTTCTTTGGCTACTTTCATCAGATCCCGGATAGTCATTTCCCCAAGTCCTTCCTGCTTATATAGTTTTTTCCTAATATCAGGGGCAGCCTGATTTATGAAGGACATTATCATGGCTGACTGTTTCACCTCCGCTAGTGGATCTAGGAGGGTATACTGTCTGTATGCATCGTAAAGGCGCTCAAGGAATGTGGCTGGGCTTTCATTCTCCCCCTGCACTACTGTCTTTACCTTAACCAGATTGGTAAGGCGGCGAGCTGCCGCCCGGAGGCCTGCCATAAGAGTCTGGCCGGTAGACCCGGAGACGCTCCCTACCTTCTGTGTTCCCATAGTCCCAATCGGGTCTGTTTAAGGGAAAATGGTCATCAATCAGGTTTGGCAGGGTAGTCGGTCGTCTGTTGTTGCTGGGGACATTCTTTCTGGCTTCAGTGAGAATCCGCTCCCGTTTCTCAGTGGTAAATAGAGTCTTAAGGAGCTGCTGACAGTCATCTCATGTAGGACTGTGAGTATGTAAAATGGACTTGAACAGATCGGTCAGGCCTCTAGGATCCTCAGAAAAAGGAGGATTCTGGGCTTTCCAGTTGTACAGGTCACTACCTGAAAAGGGCCAATACTGATAGATGCGTCCCCCATCGGGACCAGCACTGCCCAGAGCCCGCACCGGGAGGATGGGGGGGGCGGTGGAAGTGGAGGAGGGCTCCTCCTTCGGAATTTCCTCTCGCTGCCTACGGGGCCTGAGTCCCCTTGCCGGTCCAGAGACCGGGGCGGGGGGTGCAGACGGGGAGGCTGATGAATGGGGAGGTTCGGGGGGGCAGCTGCCTCTGGCTGGAGCGGCGCAGCAGCGGCATACGGTGGGGGGCTTGCCTCAGAATCTAAGTCTATCAAGGACGGATGGGAAGTCGGTTCTTCCTGCAGAATAGGCTTCTTAGGGGAATTAACAGGAGTGGGGGCATTCCCCAACATGGCCAGTATCGTGGGCCAGTCTGTAGGTGCCTCATGGGTAGACGGCCGCAGCCAGGAAGGGGGGTCCTCTACTAAGGTCTGCCACATAAGGATGTAGGGATATTGATCAGGGTGGCCATGAAGACCAGGTTTATTAATGACATCACGGACCTTCTTAATCGTGTCCAAGGAGAAGGTACCCTGAGGAGGCCAGCCTACATTAAAGGTTGGCCATTCCACTGAGCAAAGGGCATCAAACTTACCTTTCTTAATTTCCACGCCATAATTGTGTCCCTTAGCACGGATTTCTGAAAAATGACTCAGAAGAAGGGTCTTAGGAGTTACCTGGGCCTGTCCCATGATGATCAGAAGAGATGGACAAAGGAGACAACAAAGAACAAAAGAGACAATTCCAGCAGACAAACAAATTCGCACAGGACTCTCCAACATACACAAGTACTGGCTGGTCAACCAGACTACTCTCACAGGCGCACTTCCATTCACACCAGGTTCAGGATCCTCACCCAAAGACCGCCCAAACAGCGTCCACTGAGGACGTCGGTGCGGCTCCTGACTGTCGGAGATGTTTCCCATGACTTCCAATAGTGAAGCCTCCAGGGCTGTGACCCCTTCCTTCCACTCAATGAGAATTCTCAACCAAATTCAGATGGGGACTCTAAGTCCCTCCAAACGGAGGTGGCCAATCCTCCTTCTATGGTCTTTCCCAATTAAACCTTGGTATCGGAGGCCGTTTTTTCCTCTCAGGGAGGGGCCGATCTCGCTGGGGCCTCCAGCTGTTAGGGTACGAGGCCGGCCACCTCCTGAGAGGACAAAGGACACTCGAGACAAAGGAAGTCACAAGGCAAGGTATATTTCTAGCTAGCTAGGGTCCGAGCATCTGCCTGACGCAGCAGGTTTCAACAAGGACCCTGAGAGCAAAGTTTAAGCAGGTCTTATACTCTTTAAAGCATCAATCATCGTCACATAGGAATTTTTCATGTCCCTGGGGTCACATTTTCCTGATCTTGCCCACATCCTGGTGGTGGGGTAATATTATTTATTGGGAACTGGGGAAACACCAGAGGTTTACTTATCAGGTTACAAGGAATGCGTTCTCCCATAAATTAGGGGCTAGTAGTGGAATAGAAACCTAAGGTTTAGATAAGAACAGCAGGGGAGTCCTGCTTTGGAAAGTTTATTTACAAGTGGAGACAAAGAAAGGCAGGAATGGGTGCTTATCTCTACATGGTGCCTTTCATCTCGGTCCCAAACTTTTGCATGGCTATAATGAGCAATTCCTCACAGCTCTGTCTGAGGTTACAGCTTTTAATTGACAGTTTACCATGTTTTACAACCCTGTTTCAAGGCTGTCTTCCTCTTCACGAGGTTACCCAAGGGTTATGCCAGTTATAGCTGATTTTTAGGCTAGGTGGGCTACAAGTTAAAGTACCCCAACACTACCACTGAGCTACACTCCCAGCCCTGAGATCAGTTTTCTATTATGTACATGGAAGCTGTCTCTATCTCAGAAGCATTCTTACACTAATGAAACCCAAGTCTTATCAAAAGATAGGGTTTTTTGTCTTTGAATATTTATGTTTTTTTTTTTTCTTGGTGGTACTGGGGGTTTGAATAAAACAAAAATTTCAATTTCCACTCCAAACTTATGACTGCCCCCATTTTCTACCCAGTTCATTGTTTTAAGAAACCAAGACATCTCCCACCTCTGAGCTTTTTATTTGTTCCTTCTTTTCAGAAGGAACTCAACTGATTCATTGCTGTCCTTCAGGCTTCAGAGAGCCTATCTTCTAGTTACCCTATTGCAACTCAACAATTTCTTTCACTGAGCTTATCATAACCTCTTTTTTTTTATGTGTGTGTGTATATGTGTACATATGTATCTTATTTATCTATGATGGATTTTTTTGACTTGTTCACAAGTATGTCCCTATCCTGGCACCTAGCACAGTGCCTGCTACATAATGGGTACTCTATAAACATTTATTTAATGAATGAATGCATCACCCTGCAGCTAAACTTGTATTATAACTTAGATCTTCTGATTTATATTTCAGTACTCACCATGCTACCTCAAACAAAAAAAATAGAAATAAAAATAATACCGATACGTAAGTTCCTCCTTGACTCCACTAACTATACACTGTGTGTGTGTGTGTGTGTGTGTGTGTGTGTGTGTGTGTATACATACTCAATTCAATTCCAAATTAAATACTGTTGGGTATGCTGTGTATATGACACTGTACTACAAGTTGGGGCTTCAACATAAATGATATCTCCCTTTAAGATGAATGAAAGGACACAGGTAGACATAATTAACTGTAGGTTAACTGTTGTGTTGCAACCAAGTGTGATGAAAGCATTAAAAATCAGACATCTACCCCGAAGACAGATGCAACATATTTTTAGAAAGCACCAATGAGACCTGACCCCTACCAGGTCAGGTGGTAAGTTAATGGTTGTGTTCTGCTCCTTTTTCCAGCTGGTGTTTTTTAACATCCCCTTGATGGCTTACCTGTGTTGGAGCCTGCTTCAACGGTGCTTTGGTCACAACTTCAGGTCTCATCTCCACCAAGGAAACTACTTGAAAATTATACCTGTTCATCTACTTATGCTACTGCTGTACATCTGGCAGGTTTATTCCTGCTATTTTCTTCATGTGACATTTGGCACCCTAGCTCTTTTATTCTCCCCTTTGCGGGTCTGGTTGACATTGCTGACGCCTGTACTCATTCGTTGTGCGTGGACACTGAACCCCACCAAGTTTGGAACCTTTGCAGTACAGTTAAAAAGCCATCTGAGCGCCTGAGGCCATGTCCCACCAGTTGCGGATGGGCAGACGTCCAGCTTCTGCATCTGTGTAGCTCAGGTCCCTGCTCTGGTAGCAGATGGAAGGCCAGTATCAGTGGGCTAGCTTCAGGGAGCTACTGCTCCTTGGACATCTGGATGCTGGCAGGATTACTACTCATTCCTGCGGAGTGGACTGAGGAAAATATAAATAATGACTTGATTGCTTTCTTCTCTAAGGAGGCAAAGATGGCCCTAATCAAGATCCACAGGGTAGAGGCTGGGTGTGTCGCTGGGAGTAACTCAGGCCCCTTCCGTGCCTCGGCAGCTGTCAAGGATGCCATTTTAGGTATAGGGAAGCTGTGTGTACTTGAGATAATAGTTCCCAGCCTCGTTTTCCCAGAATGTTATGGGCTTTCTGCCTCCCTAGTCGGAGGTGTTTTCAACTAATCAAATAAATGAATGAATGATGAGTAAAATGTTTCTCTGTTACTGGGAGTGCACCCAGGCCTCTGGGAACCGGAAGGTGGGGCTTAGCGTCTGGAAGCATGGCCGGTCTCGAAGGAAGGGGCGGAACCGGTCCCTGGGTGCCGGGGCCTGGCCGGGTTGCTGGAAGGAAGAGGCGGGACCGGCCCCGGGAGTGTGGGGGCGTGGCCGGATGCCTGGGAGGAAGAGGCGGGACAGGCGTCGGGAATGAGGGGGCGTGGCCGGTAGCGGGAGAAAGGGGCGGGGCTCGGCGGTTTGTTGTCGGAAGCGCGCTGGTGTTTCTGGCTCCCACCGTGCGGGTCTGCCAACTGTGGTAGTGGCACTTGTCTACGAGTACCGGCGAACGACAGATGGCGAGCGCAGCCGCAGTCCCCAGCCTGGCTTCGCCTGTGGAGCAGCTCCGGCACTTGGCGGCGGAGCTGAGGTTGCTCCTGCCCGGCGTGCGGGGTGAGCTGACCACGTAGGGACAGTCGGCAGTAAGGACGGGTTTGGGGTGGGGAGAGGCCAGACCCAGGCGGCAGGGACAGGGAGCCGGGCGGAGGAGGTAGCTGCGCTTACTTCAGCTTTTCCTTTTACCACCGTCCGCCCCCGCCACCCCCCCACGCTACACCCACAAGTCGGCGAAGCCCGGGAGACCACCGAGGAGTTTGATCGGGAGCTGTTTTGGAGAAGACTCAGTGAGTGCCTTTCCTGTCGGGTTCCCCTTTCCTCACCTATTCCAGCGTCCCTATCCCTTTCCCTCCGGCTGTCCCCTGTGACTGCCCCTTTCTCACCGCATCCCCTCTGTGAGTTAGTTCACTTTGCTACCCTCATTGATTTTGGAGCTGTTTTTGAGACTCCTGGGCCTATAAGGGTGGAGAAGGACTCATGATCTTCAAAGTCCGTGCAGCAGCTGCAGCCTCAGCCTTTTGTCGCTAACTTTGGCACCTGCCCCTCTCCTGCCGCCCCCTAGATGAAGCAGCAGTGAAAGTGTCCGGGGAGGCCATGACTCTGACCACAGTCTTCTCGCGACTTCCAGCGCCTTCTCTACAGGTTGGCTTCACTTTACTGGAATCTTTGTGCTGCCTCCTTATTCTTTAGGAATCTCATCTTTTCTTTCCACCTTTCCAGCTAGAAGGTTTATTTTCCCTATCTATCAAATATTGCAGTTCTTATCTCACAGTATTGTGGTGAAGACCAAATTGCCACTTGCAGTGCCTGGCCTGGAGTAGGCAGTTCTACATTGAATCTATTAATTTTTATTTAATCAGTAACATATGTAAATAGTATAAATTCAGTATACAGTTCAAAAGATATCAGAGTTAAGTGTGCTAAAATGTATCTTCTCACCCTAGTTCCTGATTTTTGTCCCCTCCCCATTTCTTTTGTATTATTTCATACACAGTATATTCTGTGCATACACACATTCATATACGTTTATATGTATATAGCTGGCTCTTTTAACACAAATGATCAGATACCATAAACATTGTTCTGGACCATTGTCTTAAAAGTTAACAAGTTGTTTGAAATCATTTTTTAGCAGCACATAAATATGTTGCTCAGGGGCTCAAGCAGTAGGGCATCTTCCTAGCAAGCACAAAGCCCTGAGTTCAAACCCCAGTATGGCGAAAAGAAAAAAAGTTGCTCAGTTCTTTGTAATAGCTGCTAGATACAATAGAATGCTGACTATAATCATAATGTAACAAATACCCTATGTGTACATTTAACTTGTTCCCAACTTGTAACTCTTGTTAATGGTGAATTGCCTAACATAATTTTTGTGTACAGATGTGTATTGTTTAAAAAAAAATCCCCAGAGGTGAAATTGCTAGAACAAAGACTGTATACATTTTGATAATCTGTTATTATAAAACTGAAAGTAAAGATGTTGGCTGTGAGGGGACATGCCCTGTCCATGCTTTTTTTTTTTTTTTCTAGAGCTGTACACTTAAGAGTATGGTTATCTAAAAATGGAATTTGATTTTCATAGTCAGTAGTTTCAATATCTTTATATATATTCATATTTCTTTTCTTTGGTGGAGATTGCTGAGCCCTATTTAGGTGTTTTCAAATGGTATAAATATCCTTTTGCTGCATACAAATACAATGATAAACTCTCTTACTGCATACCTGTGATGAGGAAGCAAGAGATGAATTGCATGAGTCATAATAACAACTTATTTTTCTTATCTTCTGGCTCCTGAATCTCCAATACACTTATGACTTACTGCTAAAATTCACAGCAAGATACCATGATGAGTCAGCATAGAATTATTTTTCTATAAAACTACTGTCCTAAAAAATTTTATTTGAAATATATATATTCAAATACATATTTGAGAATTACAGTTGCCTTCTTAGGATCTTAGCACTTTAGTCCTACTAAAGGATAATTTGTTGTTGGTTTTTAAATTATAATCCTTTTGGACTGATATTTTTATAAAATTATGTTTAGATGTTGAAGCACTGTCAGATTGCCATAAAAGTTTCTAAACACTACAAATCACTGTGCTTATCCCAAACTAGTAACAGTTTGTGGATTGGCACCAATCTGGACCACATTTTACATAGCACTCGTTTAGAATTTAGCAAAGAAGTGAGGATAAGGACAAGGAAAACAAGAAAGGAAAGCCTGTGACCATGTAAAAGGAAAATAGTCAACATTGAGCACTATTCAGTCCATGTTAATTCCCTTTAGTTATGTATTGTGAATCTGTACACACTCACATATGTGCGCGTGCGCACACACACACACACACACACGCACCTGGTTAATGGTCTAATGAAGAGATTGCCAAATTTTTCTTTTAAAGGCAGAATAGTAAATATTTGGGGTTTTGCAGGCCAACTGCTCAACTATGCCGTTGTGGTACAGCATATCTGTAGACAGCATGTAAACCAATGAGCATAGCGGTGTCCAAAAACTCTTCATTTATAAACACTGACAGTGGGCCTGATTTGACCTGTGGGCCACTGTTTACTTGCTCTTTGTCTAAGATAAGGTGAATAACTCATGGCATATCACAAATATCTTGGGATATAGAGTAGTAGAAATAAGATTTTCCTGCTGTTCCTTAATGCTTCATTGAGTTGTCAGCCAGTGTCTGGTGTCCAGCTAACTCCTCTTTGGTATGGAATAAGTGTAGCACAAGGCCTGACTCATTATCAGACTTCAGAAAATGTTTGATGATATTGTACAGATGTCTGCTCTCTTTCTCAGTAGATGAGTTGACCACACTGATCTAATGCATCTCCCTTTTCATTCTGAAATTGGTCTAAATCCTCCTAGGAAACCCATACAATCTGTGAGCAAGTCCAGGCTGCCATCAAAGCAATTATTGCAGTATACTATTCACTTCCCAAGGATCAAGGTAAGTTACTATATCCATACTATCACTGTATTTATGGGCTAAATCTTTGATAATATAATAGATTGTATCCTGAGACTTTTATATTTCCCCTATTTGAGTATGCAGCTTTTCCCATAAAGTACAGTCAAGGGTAATTGTATAAGGTGAGGGACATCTGTAAGCACTCTTACTGTGCTAAGGTGCAGATGCTGTGTAACTTACAGCTTCGTATTTCCCCTGCTTTGCCTGAGTCTTAAGGCTTTTAGTCTTTGCTGGTGCTTCCATCTAATTGCCCATTCTAATTGCTGTGGAGGCCAGCTGAATCTTAGCTCCATACCCAGGTCATCTGTACTCTTCCTTCACTCATTTTACTTCACACCCTACTTCCAAGCTCCTTCACAGGTTAAGTGTCCATTAGTACTTCCTATAAATATATGTCTTGATTGTAACCATGCCAAAATTATAAGTGAATAACATGTCCTAGATCTTCAGGGTTATTCACAAATGGTTTAAACTTCCAGTATTTTACACACAGTTGTCAAGGGACCAATGTCCTTAATGAATGAGTACATGTTGCCTTGCAAATATTTTGTTCCAGATCTTTTGGAGAATAGCTCTAAGGTGGGTGGGGGGATAATAATAAAATGACATGGGGATGTAAATAAGACCTGAGTTTTGTTCTGGCACTTTATTTAAAGCATGTGAATAATCATTACCTCATAGCTCTCTAATGCTTAGACTTAGGAAATCATGTGGTGACATCTGAAAAGGAGCCCAGGCTGCTTACTCTTTGGTTTTGGCCACAGGGATCACCCTGAGAAAGTTGGTACGGAGCTCTACTGTGGACATTGTGGATGGCATGGCTCAGCTCCTGGAAGTGCTTCTCATCACTCCAGCTCAGAGGTAGTGATGCCACAGTATGGGTTAGAAGTTGCAGGCTTCCTTGACTTGAGGAAAAAACTCATCCTAACAGCAAAGTTACTGATATTGGAGAATAATGACCTGCAGGAAGGAGCTTTTTCAGAAGATAGGATCCTGGTTATTGACATTTCCTTATCAATTCCTTTCTCTAGCACTGACAACAATGACCTTATTTCCTGCAACAATGTTTGGGTTGCGTGCCAGCGGGTGCCTCGGATACCAAGAGGTGGGTAAGAGTGGGGAGTAGGGCATTGAGTACTGGCCAAAGCAGAGAGTCCTCTCATGTCTAACTTCCGGCTTCATTTTAATTTCTAGGAGGAGCTTAGTGGGAATGTATGTATGTATGTATGTGTGTATATATATGTATGGATTATATATATGTTATGTATATTATCAACATTTTTGCAAATAGGTATTAATACTTTTTGCCATTTCTCATACTATTTTTGGCTGGGGTTTGAATTCAGGGCTTCATGCTTGCTAGCAAGTGCTCTACTACTTGAGCCATGCCTCCAGTCATCTTCACACACTTTTTTTTTGACAGTGCTGGGGATCAAACCATGACCTTACATGTGCTAAGCAAGCACTCTACCACTAAATTATACCTCCAATTCACTTTCTTGCTGTGGTTCTGTCTCTTGTTGAACAAATGTGGTTTGTTCTCCTAGTACTGCCCTGGGAACAGTATTCTGGGGCACATTGAAGTACCTGTGAGGTAGAGCCAGGCGGGCCAAAAGCAATGGTTGTCCAAGAGGACCACGATAAGAAACATTATCTGACCATTTTCTTTCTTCTTGTGGTGGATAAAGAAAATTTATTTTAGCCCTCTGTCTAGGTAGCAGGGCATATAATGAGAAGAGTTTTACATTAAACCATCATTCTTCAAAAGAAACAGGTTGGTTGCTCTTTGTAGTTTCAACAGGATTGTTCGGTTTCCCCTCCAGTCCTAGTGCTTTGATTTTTCACTCAGATAACAAAGCTGCAGCCCTTTTAATGCTGACCAAGAGTGTGGATCTTGTGAAGGATGCACATGAAGAAGTGGAGCAGGTGAGGGAACCTCTGTCTTTGCTGCTCATTGGAAGACGTTCTATGACCAGTAGAGGAGAATTGGTTATAAAGGGAATTTACTGAGCATTGACTAAATAGGTCCCATTCTCACTCCTGTCCTGTGTCTATCTCTTACCCCATCCTGGTGTGTGACTTAGTATCACTCCTTGCTGTTTCATTGCTGGATAAGGTGAGTGAGAACAGGGTTTATGAAGTAATTGAACTCTGTAGCTATTAGTGAAGTAGCTGACTGAGATTTTTGGGCAACTCAGTCATGATGCTAAAAGTATAATAGGACTTTTTCTTTTCTTCTGTCTTTTTTTCTTTTCATTCACATATATCATGGTATGTCTTAGGCTGTGGAAGAATGTGACCCTTACTGTGGCCTCTTGAATGATTCTGAGGACAACCCTGACACTGACAACCACAATGAGGATAATGTGTTGGGATTTCCAAGCAATCAGGACTCATATTGGTCAGAGGAAGACCAAGAGCTCATAATTCCATGCCTTGCACTAGTGAAAGCATCCAAAGCCTGCCTGAAGAAAATCCGGATATTAGTGGCAGAAAATGGGAAGAAGGATCAGGTGACCCAGCTGGACGACATTGTGGATATTTGTGATGAGATCAGCCCCAGGTAAGTATGTTCCCACTTGAGACAGAAGGAGCAGTCTGATCTCAGCCTGTGCTATCACCCCAAGGTTCTCCCCCAGATTTTTAGGTATTGAAAATGTACAAACCTACATGAAAGTAGAAAAAGTACGTCAGTGAATACTCCTTCATTCAGATTCACCTGTTCCCATATTTTTCCCTATACTGGCTCATTTCTTTTTTTTTTTTCTTTTGTGGTACTAGGGCTTGAACTCAGGGCCTACACCTTGAGCCACTCCACCAGCCATTTTTTGTGAAAGGTTTTTTGAGATGGGGCTTGCAAACTATTTGCCTGGGCTGGCTTTGGACTGTGATCCTCCTTATCTCTATCTTCTGAGTAGCTAGGATTACAGGTGTGAGCCACCAGCACCCAGCTACTTGCTCATTTCTTGATAAATTCAGGTAACATTTTTTTTTTCCTAAACCATTTGAGAGTTAGGTATAGGCATCAATGACATTTACCCCATAAATAATTTATCCTCCGTATCCTAAGAACAGAGATGTTACTACTATCACATCCAAGAAGTTTAACAGTGACTATAGTAATAGTCAGTGTTAAATAATAATAGATAAATAATAATCTAATGCTCAGATCTCTCCATTTGTCTCTAAAATATACAATACAAATCTAGGGTTCCATCAGGGTCTCCTATTGCATTTGGTTGTCATCTCTTTAGTCTTACAATCTAGAACAATTTCAATCCCTTTTGGTCTGCTTTGACATTGACATTTTAATATAAAACAGGTCAACTGTCTTGCAGAATATTCAATAATTTGGATTCATGTGATTATTTTGTCATGATTATAAATCAGGTTAAAACATTTTTTAGCAAGAATAACATATAGTTAAGTGTTTTGCACCTCTCATTGCATCATATTAGGGAGGCACAGGATGTTGGTTTGTTATATTTTTGGTGGTACTACATGTGGTCACATGGTTAAAGTGGTACACCCCCCATTAGTTAGGGTACCTTTTACCCAGTAATTTTAGATACCATTTATGAACATGTTCTTTATCAGTTACTAAGTTGGTAGCTTCAGATCCTCTTATCTTTGGCCAAATTAATCATGCCCCATACTATGAAAAAGGGACATTTTTTTTTCTCAGCTTCCTAATGAACTAGAGTACATATGTTTGAGTAGATACTGGTTGAATTGATTGTGCATTGGTTGCCTGCTTACCAATTTAAGAAACTGGTAAAGCATTTCTGGGACAGTAACTTTTTCCCAAGTTGAATCCAGAGAAGAAACAATGGAGCTCAGCTTTGTTCTTTTTTTGTTAATGACTATTTTTTCTTCTGCTTTCAGTGTGGATGATTTGGCCCTGAGCATATATCCACCTATGTGCCACCCCACTGTGCGAATCAATGTAAGTACCAGCTAATTAGTAGACCTAACTAGTAGAATTTCACTAGTCACTAGTATTTACTCTAAGCTATAATGTGCATATTTATTTGTCACACTTGGAGGCAAGTATAGCACTATTGTCACAGTTCTTGTAGTGTTTATGTTTGATAAATATTGCCTGAAGTTGAATTATAATAGTCATGGGCTTTGATAGTTCTTTCTTTCAAAATCAGTTGGGTAATCTTTTGGAAAAAATGGAAAGATCATAGAAAATGCTGTTTTGAAAAGAAAGCCTGAATTACACAATTTTTTGGGGACACCTGAAGTCAGTTTCTAGACTAGAACTAGTTTCTAGTCTACGTAGGAATAGGTATTCCATAAACATACACTGTTGTAATATAAATACATTGTGTGATTTAGCCATGACAAGTCAAGCTCTTTATAAAGATCTGACTTTATTGTATTTTTCAAATTTTTTTGACTAGAGTTTTGTTCTCTTATTTTCATAAACTCCAGTTCTTATCTCTAACATTATTGGAAAGAAATAAACTGCCAAATGACTTATATTCTATAGTGATATATGTCAGTTCTAAAATTGATAAATTTCTGGAAGTTAGATTAATCAAATGTGTATTCATGATATGCAGACACCTTGACTAGAATAGGATCCTTTAGGCATTAAATTTCTTTTGACATTAACTTTTAAAAACAAAGCAATGTGCCTTGTCAGTTGTCCCAAACAGTTATCTATAGTAGCAATTTAAAAATATGTACTATACATATGCCTAATTTTATATTGTCATACATACATCCTCATGTTATCTTTTCTTTTTTGGCAGCACTGGGGTTTGAACTCAGAGTCTTGCACTTGCTAGGCAGGTATGGGCAGGTTCTCTAACACTTGAGCTGTGCCCCCAGCCCTTATTTATTTATTTATTTTTTCAGTATTGGGTATTAAACCCAGGTTGTGGGGCATTCTAAGCATGTGTTCTACCACTGAGCTACACCCTTGGCTCCCCAAGTTTACTTGATATTGGTGTTATTAAAATTCTGTATGAGATTTTTTTTCAATAAAAAAGAAACATTAGTCATTTCTGCTTGATATTAGGAGCTGTCAGCAGTTGGGACAAATTCAGGTTACAGTCTTCCTTTTTTTGTTCTTGTTTTGTTTTGTTTTGCAGTACTAGGGATTGAACCCAGAGCCTCATGCATACTAGGCAAACACTCAACCACTGAGCTACATCTCTAGCCCTTGTTCTTTCCTTTCCAAACCAAAAATATTAAAAAATTTGAAGACTTATAAAAATGTTACAGCAATAGTATTAATGATGTATTAATAATGTTTGGCTAAGAAGAAAAAATCCATAATACTTCCACCTTAACCTAATTGATATTTTTATTTTTGTGTATTTCCTTCAAGGTTATTTTCTAAATGATTTTTTTAAAAAATTACTACTTAGGTCTCTTAATTTTTTTTTCTTGTTTTGGTGGAACTGGGGTTTGAACTCAGGGCTTTGCATTTGCAAAGCAGGTGCTCTACCGACCACTTGAGCCACACCTCCAGTCCAACTTAGATCTTTTTGAATACTTGAGTTCTCCTTTTCTTTTGATTGCAGAGCTCAGGGGAGTAACTTCTCTCTTTCTTTTCTAGTCTGCAAAACTCGTATCTGTTTTAAAGAAGGCACTTGAAATTACAAAGTAAGTGTAAAGACATTTCTCCAGGTGGCTTTTTTTTTTTTTTTTTGGTGGGTGGTACTGGGATTTGAACTCAGGGCCTCATGCTTGCTAGGCAGGTGTTCTACCACTTGAGCCATTCCACCAGCCCCCCAGATGGCTTTTGAGAATAAAACTGAGTGTCATTCTCAACAACTAACTCCCCACTTCAAAAAGTAGGAAAGGGTGGATATGGGGTTTTCTTTCAAATTCAGTTTTGGAGCAGTTCAGTTCCTGTGTAGAAGCTTAACTTTTCTTCTGTGCACTCTCCTGAGGATGGGTTTTTCTCTTGACACTGCTAAATTTAATGTCTTTTGCCCCTATTTCATTTGCAGAGCAAGTCATGTGACCCCTCAGCCAGAAGATAGCTGGATCCTTTTACTCATTAGTGCCATTGATCATTGCATGAACAGAATTAAGGAGCTCACTCAGAGTGAAATTGAATTATGAGTTTCAGGCTCATCCTTCTCTTTCCCTCTCACTGTCACAGCCAGGCTCGATGTCTGCTTTTAAAAATGGAACTAAAATACTTGCTGGATGGAAAGGAATTCTATATTTAATAAGAGACTCTATTACCAGAGATCATTGGCTAGGCCTTGTTGGCAATTATTTATAAATGCTATGAGTGTGATATATTTTTTGTGCTAACTACAAAAGTTAATTGCCTAAGTGTATGTTCCCGAACTATCTCTCAGAGATTCCTGGGGAATCTGCCTTATTCTTTATTTGCAATAAACTATATTGTTTCATTGTTAAAGATGTCAATGGTCTCAATAAAATGCTAACCTACCAGTGATTAAATGAGTATCCTTCCAAAGTCTGTCGAGACTAGAACATTTTTTTTTTCTGTTTTATTTTTGGCAGTACTGGAGTTTGAACTCAGGGCCTATAGCTCTACTGCTTGAGCCACACACACCCAGCCCCCGGCACATTGTTTTCATTTGGGTTTATTAGTATAAGGATATGATTCTGAGCATAAATATACTTAGTACTAAAACACGTTCATTTATATACAGAAAATGAGTGCAAATCCTCTATTAATTCGTCAGCTTGTTATAGAATATTATTCCTCTGATTATTATCCCAGGATATGTCATTCCTCTAAAATACATTAGTAGTGCATTCATTTGTTAGGTTTGTCCACTTTATTGAACAGATTTGTTTCCCTGTACCTACTTATATGTTGTTCTCTGCTACATATTATATGTATCCCCAAATGCAAATACCACATTTTTATAAATCAAAAAAATTTTAATGTATAAGACAGTTTATATAATTTTAAGGGATTTTTTGGTACATCCTTTTGTAAAACCATCACAACTGAATTAAATGTTTTCATTGTAGATTACATACTGGAAAGCAGGGTAAAACTGTAGTGATGTATATTGTGTTGACCTGAATTGAGCCTTGTACATATACTACAGGTCTCACCCCCTCAGGTTCTCTTCCTTCTTTAGATATAATTCATCACATCTATCTTTCTGATTTCTTTAGCAGTCATTCTTTTCAGTGACTAGTATATATACATGTGGGGTTGAACTTCCTTAAGCCAAATTGACCTTTAACCTACTTTTAAAAAGTGCCTTTTTATACTTTCAACAAGTATTATAAAGAGAAGGAACTAAAACTAGTAACATAAATAAGAAAAATCATAATGTTGTACAAAAGGATTCCTATTCTTTTATCCTTTTTCATAGGGCCTATTTTCTAATTTTCACATTTCTTGACTGGACCAAATTCATGTTATTTACATCAGACTTTAGTTGTGTAATATTTAATGAATTTAAAACTCTAGTAAAAGATGTATGTACAGCTAAATCTAGATCATCCTGCTCTTAGCTCCTATATATTCTTTATTCAGTCATCTTCAGGTCTAAGGATAATGGTTGGGGATATAGTAATCAATGCAATTTTAGGATTACATAAAAATCTGACTTTTAGCTAATATTGTCCTACATCATCCAAAATAGAAGAATGATTTAATATTAGGTTCTTTCCATTACCTATAAGTTAATGAATGTATTAATGGTTATGAAAAACCTCAAACCCAAAAAAATGTGAATGTACTCTGAAAAGATACTAAAAAACTCTAAATTAGTTATCTCCCTACCTTTTCAAAGGCTTTCTTATGTTTCTTATGCCTAGTAGTTTCTATTTGAAGACAACTAGTCTCTGGCTGCCTTAAGCTGGGGTGACAGAAATGAATGAATGAGAATCTGTTGATTTCTGGGAATCTAGTTGGGTTCTTAATCCCTGTTCTGCTCAACTTGAATGAAGACTCATTTATCTGATAAGCAGAGTTTCTCTCCCCAGCACATGTTTGGTTTTAGAGTGTAGTTTCAGGTGTTGGTTGGGGAGAGTGGTAATAGAGAAGGAAGTTTAAGCTGAAGGTTCAGGGGCTACCACAGTGACACTTCTGTGACTGATTAGATTCTGGAACATATTGCAATCCATTTCCACCATGAGCCTCTGAAGCCCCAATTCTGTTGGCACAAACTGGAACTGGGTGCACAAGGTGTTTCCAGGCCACACAGGACCTAATCTAAAATAAAGGAAAAGATAGGTGCTAATTCTGTCCCAGATACATTGCTCTGCTGGTCCTGGTGACTGGTCTTTGTTTGCTTGAAGAGCTGGACCATGAGGAAATAAACATCATAAGTACATTGCTGTGGAGACAGAAGTGATCATGAAGGGGTAGAAGACACTGAGCAACTGCATAGTTCAAAAGAAAAGCATCCTAAGGGCTTTCAATCTGCATCTGTTGTTCCATTTATCATCTGTGATTCAATCTGGTTCAATTCTTGGTAATACTACTGGGGTATGTTTGGGGAAAAACTATAGTTTTGGAACTGCTAAGCACAGTAGGTGCAGCAGGCCCACTGAGAGGATGTCAGCGTGTCAACAGGTGGTGTTTACTGTAGACCTCTTGGTGACTGAGTGAATGTGCACATTTGCTTTGAGGAATTTTGCCCCACAGTTGACCTGGGAGACCACAGAAATCAGGTGAAATGTTGGCAGTTCCTCCTCTTGTCTTTCTTTTTTTGGGGGTGGTATTGGGTTTTAACTTGCTAGGGAAGCACCCTACTGCTGAGTCATGCCCCCAGGCCCCTGCTCTTGTCTTATTGGCAAGAAAGACTCATTGAGTTTCATGAGCCTAAGGTAGTAGCTCGATAACCACTGCCAAGGAGCCTCAGGGACAGTAGGAGTATGCATCTTGAACTTGAAACTATATACCATGTATCCAACAAAAGATGAAGTGAACATAGTGAAAGAGGAGATCTACAATATCTAAAACCAACCAAGACTGACTGACACCTAGCATACATGGGAACTCTATAAGTCAGCAAAAGATGGCAGGAACATCAAAAGAAAAGTGGGTAAAGGTAAGGACACACTCACTGCTCACAGAGGAGGAAATAGAAAAGGCTAATAACATGAAGAATGGTAAACTAGGGGCTGGAGGAGTGGCTCAAGTGATAGAGTGCCTGCCTAGCAAGAGTGAGGCCCTGAGTTCAAACCCCAGTGCTGCCAAAAAAAAAAAAAAAAAAGAATGGCAAATTAAAACAATAGTAAGACATGACTCCTGCAGCTATACCTGGTTAGATCATATCCTATGACCTAGCAATTGGATTCCCAGGCATATATATCCCCAACCTCACCAAAGACTTGAGATTATTCATGGCAATATTGTGGTGTCAGAGAATTGGAGGCACTAGGTGTCTGTCACTGTGGAGTGGGGTGGTAAGAAGTAGATACGCACAATGGAGTATTACATAGCAGAAGAAAGACTTGGTATATACAAGAATATTTCTTTTTATAATATTGGGGATTAAAAGCAATTCTATACTGTTTATACCTACATATATGTGATACATACATATACTTTTGGGGGACAGTACTAGGCTTTGAACTCAGGGATTTGTGCTTGCTAGGCAGGCACTCTTATCACTTGAGCCATGCCTCTAGCCCTATGGATCTTAAAAACAGTTCTGAGTGAAAAGAAAAACAATTATAACATTTATAGAAAAGAAAATATAAGCTTATGAAGCAATGATACATATTGTACACATGCTAATGAAAGGATCCACACACTTACGAAAGGATATGAAGGGTGGTGGTGGGAATGAGAGTAGAGAATAGGAAAAAAGGGACTAAGCAAAATTGTATATTGTGGTGACTAGTAGAGTGCAGTTCTCTGATCACACTGAAAGGTAGCCTACTCTACCTGTGACATCTCAAGCCCTGACCTCCTCCCTGCATTCAGTAGCAATACCCAGCTCTCCTTGCATGAACAAGGAAACAACTTGGGTGAGGTGGGTACATGCAGGGTCCACACAGGCCCCTTCACTCCTATGCCCCTATAGATAGGGTGGTCCCAGGATGAGAGATGTTTGTAGCCTTAATCCAACTTCTGAGGGTATTTGCTCTGTTTTCATAGACACAAGAAGGTTGTTTGGGGTTTTGTTTTTTTTAGGTCATTAATTTTGGGTCTCCACCTTTCTGATCAGTTGAGATCTTACAGTGGATGAGAAGCTTGCAGTCTCTTACCTGTATCTCCTCTCTTTGTGGATGAGTCCCCTTCCAAAGATGGAGATCACACATTCCTCCATGGGGCAGTCCAGGGAGTTATGGATGCTGACTGAGACTGTAAGAGGTCGATACCTTTCTGCTGTCTCTGGCATCTGTGGGAAGAGGAAACACACAAAGCAATGCTCAGGTCACAGACCCACAGTCATTACTTCCCCTCCAGTGCATCCTGCTTCTCTCCTTAGATACCCTTCTCATCTCTGCCATCCTGACCCAAACTGCACAGCTAACTTTCCCTTCTCTCTGATCTTCCTGCATTTACTCTCAGCCTTAACTCATGACTGACAACCTCTGATGGTGCCTACCCTCTGCTTAGAAACCTTGGAGGGTTTCCCACTGTCTTAATTCATTTTAGATTTCATTCAGGGCCCTTCTTGCTCTGCCCTCAACCCACCTCTCCAGCCTTGCCTGCTCTTCCCTTGACTAAATGACATCCCAGCCTTGTTGGTGACTGTCCCATTCTTGACACAACCTGCAGGCTCCTTTTCTTTGCTCCTCTTTGAATAGTCTTCTGCCTTCATGCCTCCAGTGGCCTTCCCCTATCTCTGCACTGAAAACAAACCCTTTCCTCAAGGCCCAGCATAAATATCACCTCCTTCATGAAATTGTCCCCCAACCCACCAGTGGAAATTAATTCCTTTTACTTCACATGACTTTTGATCTCTATTAGAGTATTTACATAAAAGACCAAATATTGTGCCTTTCTTACTAAATTATAAGCTCCTTGAGGGCAGGGACCAGATATCATTCATTTTGGTCATGATAGATTTATGAAAAGAGGGCCTGACCAAGAGTCATGAGCTTTTAGAACTTCCTATTTTTATGAATTTGGGCATGTTGCTCTCTAGGACTCAGTTTCCTCATCTGAATAATGGGAGCAGTCTCACCTCATAGGGATTTTGTGTTGAAATAAAGAGAATAAAAATACTTCATAGAAAGTGCTAAATAAACTTGCGCCTGTAATTCTAGCTACACAGGAGGCAGAGATCAGCAGATTGCCATTCAAACACAGCCCCAGCGGGAGACCTTATCTCGGAGAATTTCATTACAAAAAAGGGTTGGTGGAGTGGCTTAAGCAGGAAGAGCCTAGCAAGCAAGCATGAGTCCCTGAGTTCAAACTCCAGTGCTGCAAAAAAAAAAAAAGCTAAATAAACACAGACTAGTACTATCTCTGTAAGTGTGGAGGCAGCAACTGGGAAGGTCCTAGCTATAGGAAATTTTACTTAGCCAACTAAAAAAGGAGAAATTGGAGGATTTAAACCTTCATATTGCATGTAAGAAACCATGTCTTTCAAGAGAAGGAATTTACAAACCTAGTATTGTCTGGTAAGTATGCAGCCTGGTCACCTGCTCTGAAGCTTGCGCTCAGTTCTTTCTGAAATGGAGACCTGAGCGGTAGCAGCTGAGAACAATTGAGGAAAGAACTGGTGCCTACCTTGATGATGAGGTGTGGTCTACAAATGGCAATGTCTTCCTGAGCAAAGCAGCTGAGGCTGGACTCAGAGTGTGTAGCCACTGCAGTGAGTCTGAGGAAGCTGTTCTCAGGTGGGTTTCGCTCAAAACAGGAGAAGGACAGGCTGGTGGTTATTCTCACAACTGAAACACATGACAGGTAGGGTAAGTGCAAAGTGGTGAGTGTGTGCATGCCAGGAACAAACCATTGTTCCGCCCAATGCCATGGACTCAGGACCTCACAAAGGCCAGAAAGACACCCCATTCCACAGAGCAACTATAAACTTACTCAAGACCCCACTCTCAACTGCCCACCCCATCACCACCTCTGCCAACACTTTTGGCAAAATACCTACTGGGGGGGAAGCTAAAACAAATTATTGTGGTAAATGACATAGTGCAAACCAAGTACAAATACTAAGTGCTCAAAAATATGAACTGTAATTATTCCAGTTGTCTCTTATTTCGCCAGGGGTTCTGCTGTTAATTATAATCCATCTCTCTTAAAGCTGGGCTATTTCTTTTCATGCTGATTATTTTCCTCAGCTTGTAAGCAGGTTCAGCTCTCTCTCATCTTAAAAAACAAGCAAACAACCAAGAGCTGGTGGCTCACACCTGTAATCCTAGCTACTTGAGAGGCAGAGATCAGGAGGATCACAGTTCAAGGCCAGCCCGGGAAAATACTCTCCAGATTCTATCTCAAAACTACCCAACACACAGAAGGGTTGGTGGAGTGGCTCAAGTGGTAGAGAGCCTGCCTACTAAGTGTGAGGCCCTGAGTTCAAATCCCAGTACCACAAAAAAAAGAAACCACCACCTAAACTCTACCCAGTGTCCATAGCTGACTACCACCCAGGTTCTCCTTTTTCCATCATGCTTCTAGGAGGGACAGCACAACTTGTCTAACTTCCTCAACTCAACCGATATAATCCCCAGGAAGCTGACCTTTGCCATTGGTTTTTCAGCAGGATCACTCTCCCAATGGACACTTATCAGCTTGGACAACTCATGACCTCTCTGTTGACCATGCAGGGTGTTCTTTCCCCTCTTAGACTTCTCTGTCCCCTTACCCTCTGCACTTTTCCTGACTACCCCCTAAATGCTGGTGCTTCTGGGGCTCCCTCCTCATTCTCTCACCTTCTCACAGTCCTTCCTGAATCCCTGGAAACTCATCAACCCCCTCAGAGGCTGCCCCCTCTGTGCTACTCCCATATCTACTCTTCCAGCCCAGGCCTACCTTGAACACCAAGTTTTGATTTCCAGCTGTCTGTGGCCATCTCTGCTTGGATGTTTCTTGAATTTTCAACCATAACTGAAGTCATAACTGAATTCATCTTTCTCCCTAAACCTGCTTCCCCCTTCCCATTTTTCCCTATGCTAGCGACTTACCCAAACCAGATACAACCTCCCAACACTCACACTTACACACTCAGAAGTCTACTCTATCCTATCTCCTTAATATGTCTTCATCCTAAGTGCTGCTAGCTTAGTCTGTCTTTAATTACTGGGCTCAATTATTACAAATCTTCTGTCCTTCAATCTAGTAGTTCTCAACATTGGATGTACGTTAGAATCCTGTGGGAAGCTTCATAACAGAATCCCAACACCAAGCCACACCCCAAATTTATATCAGACACTGGCAGTGAGGCCCAGGCCTCAGCATTTTTAAAGTTCCCCCAGGTGACTCAATATGCAGCCAAGGTTAAACCAAGCTTATCTGATTGCAATTGTAATTGTGGTTTTCTCCCCTGTGTTAGTCCCAATAAATGTGTGTTAAATGACTGAACAAGCATGTGAACATGAGAGGCTCTGGAGACTTGTGGGCAGTGTCCAGGGTGGAGCCAGGTGTGTGTATGTGGGGGGGAGAGAGTTATCTGGTGGAGCCATAGAGAGTTACCTTGGTTGGCCCCGAGTCTCAGGGACTGCTTCTCCCTCCAGAGCTCAGCAGCAAAGACTCCATTGTAGTATACAGCCTGGGCCCCAATCACCAGCTGCACCTCCTTTTCCTGGTCACTGGGATTAACCAGGGTTACTGAGAGTTGGGCATCCCCTCTCAGGGGGAGGGAGCTGGGTGCCTCTAAGAACAGGTAGAAAGAATCAGCCGGCTGGAGACTGAGACAACGGATGCCATTGTCTTTCCCCTGTCTCATTCTCTCTTTCTGGACTCTCTCCAGCACCTCTTTTTCTTGAAGAGATCCTGGAGAACAGAAGAGACAAAGCAGGCCTATTACCCAGCAGGTATAGATCCTTCTAGTAAAAGCCCAAGATTAAATTTTATTTACCATTTCAGCTCAGAGGCCCAAATCACAAAGGCTTTGCAAGGATCAAAAGTCATGTTTATCCACAAAAAGCCTGTATTCTTCAAGCACTATGAATTTGACCCCTGAGCAAGGAGAGAGCAAACTTTCTGACAACTCCATAATGTCTCTGAGGATAGTGTTGTGGGGAATTGAATCTTCCTATGAAGGAATTTGGATTTATTCCAAGGGCAATGGGGACCATGGAATATTCTGGAGCCAGGGGTACCATAATGACATTTGTATCTTGGAGAGTTCATTCTTGAAACTGAAAGTTGGAAAGGGAACCATGAAGAGAGACTGGAGGCATGGGCTCAGTTAGTGTCCTAAAGACAAGAGGTGAGGAGGCTTGGATTAACTCTGGCAATGAGAAAGGGTCAGGGAGACAGACTCAGGTGAGGATAGTGTGTGGTATCTGGACAAATGGGTGGAGAGCATTGCCACTGGCTAATGTGGAGGAAGAGCTGGGGGTGTTGGAGGAGAGAGGGAGAGGGGTGACTTTAGAAGTTTTCTGTGACTGAGGGTGCTATTGAGTATATTGCTTCATAGCAGGAGTTCTCAACTACAGTCAACTTTTCCTCTCCCCCCAAGGTACATTTGGGAATGTCTGAAGACATTTTGGGTTGTCAATACTGATGTCCATGTGTGGGAGCTGGTATCTCATGGACAGAAGCCAACAGTACTACAAAATATCCTGAGATGCCCAGTCCCCTACAATGAAGAACTTATCTGTTCCAAAATGTCAATAGTGTTAATCAGAGCTGAGAAACCTTGTTTTATATGATGGGAAAAGGAGCAGATTCTTTCTGGCCTGAATCTGTCCTGCCCATCCCTTCCCCTCATTTGCTGCTGTAGGTGCTGAGGAGCCCAGCATCCCTCCCTGGCCAGTACCTGCAGGGTACTTGTAGTTCTGGGTGATGTCCTCACAACGGTCACTGCCCACAACCTTTGTGCTGATGTTGTTACCAACATATTTTGTGTTGGAGTTGGTCAATTCCAATTTCCCATCCTCACAGCACTTCCAGACCACGCATGAGGAGTTCACCATGGCAAAAAGGTCTGACACCACAGGGGTCACCTCCAGTGCTCCCTCTTTGACTGCTCTGACTGGGACCAGATCACAGGACCCCAGAACTGAGGGAGAAAAAGGTCAATGAGCAAGATGGTGACTCCAGGACCTCTGTTCTATTCAGCACTGCAGTACATTGGTTCCTACCCTATACCCTATTTTCCCTTCCCCAGGATCAAGGTCAGAGGTGGACAGTAGGCAGGGTTTCTGAGAGGGTATCACAGAGATGAAACTCATAACTACATAGTGAAAATACATTTTGGTCCTGGCCTTCTCAGAAACTAAGCAAGAAGGACCTCAGAGGAACATGCTCTTAGTGCACAGGAGTTCCCAAGCCAGCTCTACTGCTGTTATGACAGGAATGGGTCACTTCTGAGCACTTACTATGTGCCAGGCTCTGTGACAATTCTGTTCCTAGGTGAGGAAGTGCCATCTTTCTATGGTTGCTGAAGTTTCCTTCTCCATACTTAGCCTATCCTGTGACCCTCTTCCTCCATAGCAAGAACCTTGGAAGTCCCACCCTCTGCTCCTGCCCTAGCACAGCCACCAGGCAATGAAGGCCCTCAGCACCTCATTGAGGTAGATGCAGCTCACTTGCCTGTTGCTCTAAGATGGGCCTCATCTCCCCAACAGCCCGTGCCAGAGATGACTGACATCTTTACTCCCTTGGGCTTGCTGTGGTCAGCCTTCTGCTGGCCATCATTCCTTCTGTTTCTCCTATTGTCAAGGATGAAGGTCCCCTGTGGCCAACTTGTTCCTCCTGTTTCCTCTCTGAGGGGCCCTGTCACCCCTTGCAGCTCTGTGAGGCTTTGAGCCCACCCCTAAGTTTTACCTCCACCTCCACTCGGAGCTCTTGGGTATAGAACCTGCCATCCATTATAACCCTGGGACAAATCAGGCCTGGTCATCCAGCACTCTACTGAAGTCTGGAAAATCCTGAAGATAGCAAAAGTAAAAATTCAGATGAGGAAAAAAGGAGTATAGAGGAGGTTCTAGGAATGAAGTTTAGTAGAGTTGCCATTCCATGCGGATGGCAAGACACTGTATGAAAGCGGCTACAACACTCCCAGGAAGGTATGTGCGACACCACCACTGACCATCCAAAAGTCCTGAAGACCCAATCTCAGTGTCAGGGCCACTTGGGGGTTGGGGGTCCCCATAGGATTGCAACACACGGTTTGGAACGTTTTCTAATTTGGAACATTATCTCCTTTGGGCTTCTCACCAGATGCGGCCTCTCTGGCCTTCTCCATTCTGGAGCCCCTCCCCATTGTAATATTCATCCACCAACAGGCTCCCACCAGTGTCCTGAGCTGAGGCGAATGTGGTGACAACACGGGCTGGGATCCCCAGGAATCGCAGTACTGTGTGGAAGAGGAGTAAGAAGTCAGAGGGAGCAGAGAATGCCTGAGCTTGGGACGGGTCGCACTGTATAAGGCTAGGATTTTCAGTGCCTCCCGTTCAGGCTCTGTCTTTATATCGGATGACATCGTGGAAGGAGGAAGAGTACAGGCGCCAGGAAGTTAGAACTTACATCTATAAAAGCTGATAAATGAGGTTCAAGTTACACAGCAGAGCAGAGGAGAGGGTTGTGGAATGGGACAGCAGTGTGGGCTTGCTCCGTTGGGCAAGGTGGGGAAGTTTCTGGGACAAGTGAGCTTGGGAGCAGAGTTTGCAAATGGGCCCAGCTTTGTTGAGGGAAAAGAAGCAGAAGTTGGTGGAGAAGAATAGCCAGGACAAGTAGCTGATGATTTCTTAGCGAGTGCGTGGAACCAGTTATGGGTGTGGTGAAGGTGGGGGGGCTGTGAAGTATAGGCAGCACCTGCTTTTAGAGATGTTTCTCCCTCATGGAAGGCCAAGGGGAAACCCAAGATGTAGGACAGACACTGTATAGTAGCCAGGTGACTGACCTGTGGGTCTCTAGTTCTGTACCTGTGCAAGCAACAGCTGCTAACACCCAGGCCTGACCCTCATACACGGGTCGCCCTTGGCCAGTGAACCACTGCCGCAGGATGGGTGCACTGCCCCGCCGCTTGTTGAGCAAGGCCCTTTCCTGGGTGGCCTGGGTCTGCGGGGTGGGCAGAACTCTCTTCTCCTTGAGAGCGTGCAGCTGTTTGGGAAGACGTGCGGATGTCAGTGAGGTCCCACAGTTGGACAGCTTCCAGGGGGTGGTAAGGGGAGCTCATTGCAGCTCTCTAAGCGTGTAGCAGAATCACCTGGGACTTATTAAGCCTGCACGCTTCTGGACTCCATCCTGGGTCCATTGGGTCATACTCTAGAGCCGAGGCCAGGCTCCTCCTTTGAAATCAGTCCTTCAGCTCTAGCCACAGAGAGGAGCTTGAGAGCTGCCCCTCACTGGAAGCTGGTTCCACTGGGCCTCAGCTTCCCCCATCCTGACTCCTTTGAGGTTGTTTGCTGTGGGTCTTGGAGGCCACTCATCCCAAGTTTCCTCCTCCCTCCCAGGCTGGTCTTGACCCTTGCCACCTCTTCAGAGGGGACCTCAGAGGCACAAGAAGAAGTAGAAAACTCATTGCTCCTCTGAGGAGCCTTAGGGACAAAGGAAAGCACGAAGTCATCTTCATGGTCCCTTCCTGAGAGAAGAGAACCATTTGTTATTTGAGAACTTCATAGCCATAGAGGTGGGACAGGTCTGGCAGAGGGCTCTTTTCCCATCTCTTCCACCTCTCACTCACCAAGGCGCCCCACAGACAGGCCACATACACAGGTTGGCTCCACTTTTCCATATGCTTGTCCACACCCATCAAGCCCAGGCTGAGGTCCATGACATCCCTCTCGAACTGTAAGGACCACATAGGGACCAAGATGAAGGGTCTGCATGTCAGGTACTCTTCCTACAGGACAGGTCCATCATCTTATCCTTCCCAGACTTAGGCAGTATGCCTTCCTCCCCTGCATTATTGTCCCCTTTGCATTGTCTGGCTCTTCCTTCTCTCCCACTGTGCCCCTAGTCCCTGCACCTAGCGTCTAGCTCTTTACCTGTTCTGTGGTCTGACTCCCTCAGTAGCATGTGAACTCTTGGGGCCAGCTCAGTGTAGTCATTTCATTTCATTTCCATTTAGTGAGCTTTATGCTCCTACCAGCCCTGTGCCAGATGTAGAGGATCCTGAGGTAGCTCCACTCTTGGAGGTCCCTCCCCAGCCTCCTTGTTTAGCACTGGAGATGGACATGTGGGCCCTCAGATTATACATCGTAGCAATTTGGCCAGGGCTCTAGGATCACTGGCAGTGAAGAACAGAGGGCACAGTGGAGAGACTCTCTTTGCCTTCAGGGGCTGGGGATGCTTTCAGAAGTCATAAGAGATGGGTAGTTTTCCAGAGGGAAAAGGAGGGAAGCTATTCTAGTCAGGGGAACACTGAGACTATATGCTCCGAGGTGGAATATTCAGTGGCTTGAGCAAGAGGAAAGCAGTGGCCTGGTTGAAAGGGCCTTGGGTGTCAAGCCAGGGTATTGGGGCTCCGTCCTGTGGCTAGTGGGGATTTAACAGAGGCTGGATATGCCATAGTTTTTAGGAAAATAATTATGGCAGTTGTGGAGGATGGTATTACGTGGTCCAGAGGAAAAGGAGACACCACAGAGCTAAAATGGGCTAAAGAAATGGCCTCATGACCAGGAGCTCTTGGTCCTATCAGTTATATCTGACCTGAACATTGAAGGTTATAGGCTGGCACCACCTCTCTCCTTCCCTAGAGGTCCCTATTACCTGGCCAAAGTTCCAGGGCTCTTCCTGAATGTAGTCAGCGGTGCCCAGATAGATGAAGCCATTCTGGTTCAACACGTACTCGTTGCGTTGAGCCTCATTCTGCAGAAATACAGCATCCTCTAGCAAGAAGCAGGAGAGAATGAGGGCCTGAGGGGTGACAGACCCAACCTCCATGTCCAGGCCTCTGCCCTCCTGGCCCAGCTCTGGTTTGGCTATAGGCTGCCCCTGTAGCTCCAGGCCTAAAGAAGACTAAGGAGGAATTCCCTCTGACTGCCACCTCTGGGACCTGGTTCAGAGTCCCTGGGGCAGTCAGGGTTTGGCTTTTGGAGTTGGCCAGGCAGACAGTAACAAACTGACTTTAAAAGGCCTAGTGGTTCCCAGAGCACTACTGGCCCAAGAGCAACTGGCAACAGCCCAGGAGCTTTCCAGTGGTCTTTTTTCTCAAGTTCAATTTGTGACCAAAAAAAGTGTTTCAGAAAAAAATCAATTAAGTGTAGGTTAACTAGAGTGAGCAGAGGGAGGAGGAGGGCAAGACAGGGTAGAAAGAGCAGTGGGGTTGGGGAAATGGAAGTCTGAGCACTGGACTTCTGCACTGGGTGGTACTGGGTGTTCCAGTCTCTTCCCAGTGCCATTTCTGCTTCCCTCAGCCATGGGCTGGACATAGCAAAAGGCTGGGCATCTTTGAAGGAGGCCATTGCCCACTCTAGAAAGCTGGGAGCAGTGCAGGGATGGTTCTGCTTGCCAAGTCCTATCTCTCTGACCTCACGGTGGGGCAGAGTGGAGGGTGCTTAGACTAGTTCCTGGGGACCTTAAAAGGATTCCCAGACCATCAGAGGAGCTGCTGGACTTTCCTTGGTGGGTCTCTACAAACAGAGCATGTAGGCAGGAATCCTGGAATCAGAATCAAGACCATAGGTTCCCTCTAAACCCAGCACTGTCCTAGAAATGTCTTTGTTAGGTCTTTTCTTCTTTCTTTCTTTCTTTTTTTTTTTTTTGGCATTGCTGGAGATTGCCAGGTCCTCATGCATACTAGGCAAGTGCTATACCACTAAGCCATATCCCTCAGTCTTTACTTTGGTTGCCAAGATCTAGCTTTGATGTGGACTCCAACTCAGTCAGCTAGGGTACACCAGAGCCTCGTCTTTGGAGGGAAATGTCTTAAATGTCTTCATGTCAGTTGTGGAGAGCCATGGGATCTTCCTCAGCTAAAGTCCTGAATCCATACTCAGCCACATGAAGCTAGGAATACCTGCATGGACACTATAGTTCCCATACATGTTCCCTTTACCTACCCACTTGAAGCACAAGGAAGAGCCTGAGTTGAGGACAGTCAAGGGCCATCTGAAGTAGAGGGTGAGGACTGGCGAACCCCCTGGCCAAGAGAAGTGGAGAGAGATCCCACTGGGCTTCAGATACCACAGGGAAAGACAGTTAGGAATTAGGGTCCAGGTGTGGGACTGTAGGAACCTAGAAAGATTCTTTTCCTTCTGTATGTTTCCCTTGGTTTCAAGCCCTGCCTTGTAAAGGCGCTCTTTCGGGCTGGTAGTGGAATTCTTGAAAGGTCTATGTACATGTAGTCTGGTGTCTCCAGGACAGGAACACCAGGTGAAATGTTTCCATTCTCCCAATCAACCCTTCAGGGAGTCCACAGGATTAGGTGGGCGTGGCAGATTTGAAAAGGAAAGACAGATCTCAGAAAGGGAAGGAAGAAAAGTTTCCCCTCTGGCTCCTCATTTGCTCAAATCAGCTGGGTCTAATGGCCCAGTCCCAGTGAGGACTGAGCTTTGACACAGGAGGCCACCAGTTGGGCCACAGGAAGTCACCTGAACCCAGGATAGCTACCCACAGCCTGGCAGAGCTGTCGGACATCAGTGAGATATTTGGACAGGTCAGTGTGGAGAGGACCCCACAATCTGTCCTAAAAGAACAAACACATAGAAGCAAAGACAGCAAAACCAGGCCCATTTAGGGTGGATATGATGAAGCCAAAGCTTGGGAACCCTCAGTAACACAGACCTCTTCCACATGGCCCCTTGGTGAGGGCATGAGCAATTCAAAATTTTGTATTATTCTTCTCTCTTTTTTTTGTGGTAGCTGGGGTTTGAACTCAGGGCCTTGAGCTTGCCACTGAGCCAGGCCTCCAGCCCTTTTTGCTTTAGGTATTTTTCAAATAGGGTCTTGCATTTGTGCTCAGACCAGCCTGGATAGTGATCCTCCTATTTATGCTTCCCTTCCTATTAATGCTTCCCTGTAGCTGGAATGGCAGGCAAACATCACCAGGCCCAGCTTTTTATTGGTTGAGATGGGGTCTTGTGAACCTTTTGCATTTGAATTTTGAACCATGATCTCCCAATAGCCACCTCCTAAGTAGCTAGGATTAAAGGCATGAGCCATCATGCCTGGCTATATTATTTTTCTTAAAAGGGTCCCTTAAATTAGAGAAACTTCTGGCCCCACAAAACCCAACCGCACCCTGGAGACAGCCTAGGAGAGACTGGAAAGAGACAGTCAGGAGCCCCTCCCTCAGGCCACTTCATTCATGCATCCCTTTCCAGTTCACATCTCTGTACTGTTACAGTAAGGGGTAGTTTTCCCATCTTTGGGAGTCTCAACACCTGTGACCAAAATAGCTTGAGTAGCACTGGAGTTTGGTGGCAAATGCATCCTTTCTTTCAGTGGGAAGCCCAAGGTTGCCTCCAACTGTCTTGTCTTTTTAACAAGACAGGACCTGGGTCTGACAAGGTACCTGCAGAAACTGAATGCTGTGCTGCCCTTAGAGGGGCTGGGCCTGGGGCTATACCCCAGCTTCTGTGCCTTGGTCACTGTGTAACCTAGGCTAGCCTAGGTTCAAACTCACCTCTATTCCAGGGGTTAAAGAGCAGTGTGAATTGGCCCAAAGGATATTGCACCCTGCCTGAGACCTGCAGCAGGAGTGAGTAGTGGCCAATGACAGCATCAGCAGGTGAGGTCACAGAAATGGTCCAGAACTGGTCATCTCTCTCCTTGACCACTGCTCTCCACTGTTTTTGGTCCCCCAGAGAGGAAATGGGGAATGTAGCTTGAGTCCTGTTGGTCTGGGAAGGCTGCTTACCTGCAATTACAGAGTGATGAATTAGACATTTGAACTTCTTGTCACAAGTCAGAGTAATAAAGTCAGGGTATTACAAAGTGAGGAGGAATTGGTTTTGGAGGAGAATAAAAGAGGTCCATCCAGGAACAAGGAGTGATAAAGGATGATGGCCTCGGCTCTCCGTGGTCATGGCCTATATCTGTGAAAGGTTCATAGTCCATAAAGTGTCCAGCACAAGAGTAGAGTCATCTCTGTGTTCCCTCTACGGATACCAAAACCTGAGGCTGCCTAAGTCCTTATATAAAATGTCATAGTGTTACATTCTCCCATATGATTTAAATCACCTCTACATTACTTAGAACACGTTATACAATGTGAATTCTATGGAAATAGTCATTATGCTATAAAAAGGAGTCTATACTAGTTGCATGCAGTGCCTCGAGCTTCTAATCCTAGTTATGTGGGAGGCTGAGATCAGGACGATCACAGTTTGATGCCAGCCCAGGCAAATAATTCACGAGACACCCCTGCCCCATCTCCAAAATAACCAGAGCAAAATGGACTGAAGATGTGACTCGGGTGATAGAGCACCTGCTTTGCAAGTGCAAAGCCCTGAATTCAAACCCCCGACCCATAAGAAAAAAAAAAAAGGTCTATATTTGTTCAGTAAAGACACATTTTAAATTTTTTTGTAGATGTTTTCCATCCATGGTTGATTGAATCTGAGGATGCAGAACCCACAAACATGGAGGGTCAGCTGTCCATGTTAGGAGAAAATGATATATGGCATATGAAATATTTGGTTCAATGTCTGACATGTAGTATAGATTCAATAAATAGTGTCAATTATGTTCAGTGTGAATTAGATCACAGTTAGGTTTTTCTTCAAAGCCAATCCTGTATTTGCAACCAAAAGAAACCTCTTAGTGGTAATGCTATGGAGAACTTCTGAGTAATAGGTAATATTTGTAATGTACATTTGTCCTGTAGTTCCCTGAGAAAATGCTGCAGAGAGAACCTGCCAATCCTGCCGTCCCTGGGGTCCAGACCTCTCCCACTTACCAGTTTGTGCAACGAGGACCACCTTCTTCAAGGTGGACAGGAATGTGTGGACTGGGCGATGGAAGTACAAGGTGATGGTGAAAGGCTGCCCCCTCCTCACAACGAGGTGGCGGGCGCTGATGGCCTTGGTGTGGTGCTCCTCATTATTTTTTGCTGCCTGGAAGTCACAGCTCTTGATACCCAGGGCTGTTTTGAAAAGAGAGAAATCATGGATACTATGTAAATATGAAACAGAAGTAAAAGAAAGCCAGGCACTGGTGGCTCATGCCTGTAATCCTAGCTACTTGGGAAGCTGAGATCAGGAGAATTTCAGTTCAAGGCCAGCTGGGGAAATAGTTTGAGACTCCATCTCCAAAATAACCAAAGCAAATGGTGTGGCTCGAGCAGTAGAGTGCCTGCTTTGCAAGCACAAAGCCCTCAGTTTAAAACCCAGTCCCGCCAAAAAAAATAAATAAATAAAAGCAGAGATTCTGGAATCAGGCCAGAGTTGAAGTCCTTGGCTCAACTTACTATTAGCCGTGTGACTTCAGACAAGTAACTTAACCACTCTGAACCTCAGTTTCCTTCTTCTTAGAATGATCATTCTTCCTTGCTTCCTTGCAGAGTCATGGGGAATATATACATATATATATAATTATTATAATATATATATCATACACTTAGCACAGTGTCAGACACATATTATGTCCCATTAAATGAAACTATTGTTGCTATTATTATTAGAGAGCAATGAGTGTTCTCTTTGTTGACCTCCTTTTCTGGTTCCACTTCCAAGCAATGATAAAACCCAAAATCTTGTTCCCCCCCCAGTCATTTTATTCTTAGAACACAATCAGATAATTTTTAGGACTGGCTTTGTAATCACTAAATCCAGTTTTCTTTGTCTTATAGATGAGAAGAGTAAGGCCGAAAGTGGAACCAAGTCATCTGAGATCATGTGTGCTCTTTAACCATAAGGCTCACCAAAATCACGGCACCACACAGCCCAGAAAAACTCTGCAAGGAGGTGGCCTGAGAGTATGAGGATGTCTTTATGTTAGAGAGGGAGGAAAAAACAGGGACGGGGGAAATTTTAAGAAATAGTTAGCAGACCTGAGATGAGGTACAAGACTGGGAAAAATAAAAGTTTAGTTTCTCATGCAACAAAGGCATTGTATACTTTTCATTCCCTGATGGCAGAAGGCTGTTGTGAGCCTCCTTAGTGGAAAAGGCAGCCTATATTTTGCATGGGGCTAGCCACAGGCAGGGAGGAGCTCTGGCATTTGCTAACAGGTCTAGAACAGAGTCTGACTTACTGCAAAGCAGTGGTCTGACCCTGAGGCAAAGTCCTTTAGGCTCCAAAACACATTTTGTCCAACTTAGAATACTTTTGCTCCACACCTCCTTTGGTTCCCAAACTTTGTGACTTAGAGCTCAAGAACAGAAGGGAAGGAAGAAGAAAGAAAGGAAAAGAATTCACCTTCTCTACTTTTCCTTTCATCACGATAGAAGGCGACAATGATTTAATATTGGGGAAAAGAACTGGCATTCTTGACTGTGAAGGTGCACATCTGGTCCTGGTGCCCCTGAGTATCCCTTGGGCCCTGTGTTGCTCTCATCCAACAGTTCAGGTCATGGAGGTAGGAAAATAGCCACAGCCAGGCAGGGATTTGTAATTTGAGAATACAGAAGAACACAGGAACCAGCAATGATTCTGCTCTGCTGGCACAAAGCTGGATTGGGGCCCAGGAAGAGCCCTGTCTCTGTACACTGGTTGAGGTAGACTGGGTGGCAGAATTGTAAGCAGTGTATGATTTGAAACTTGTTATTCAGAACCCACATAATGACCACAGTGTTATAGCAAGAGCCACTCTTCACAATTAGCTTGGATTCTGTTCTGTCTGGAAGGCTTCCTCTGCCCCTTCTTACCTGGCAGGTGCCTTCTCATCTTCCAAGATCCAAAGGCACCTGTCTCTAAATCTTTCAATGAGTTTTTCAGGCAGAGATCATTCCTCCAAGCTCCCACAGTCCTCTGCACCACTCTTTTCAGCACTTACCCCATTTTATAGCCATCACCTGCTCAGCTCTTTGGCTCCCCCAACCCCACTGTGAGCTTCCTGAAATACAGGGTTTATTTCACGCCTGCATTCTTTCCCCACCAGTGCATCAAACACAGGAGTTACTTAGTCAGGGTTTGCTCCATCAATGACTGGAGGAGAACTTTGAGACAGCCCGAAGGAGAGTGTCTCAGATGCGCCATGGGGGGGTCTTAGGCCTGCATCTGTGCTAACAGACTCTTAAAAAGGGAGCTGAATTTCTGCCTCCTCCAGGTCTTCCTGGTTTCTTGTTTTATGAATGCCTCTGCCTCTTTCAGTTGGGTTCCTTGACTCCTATCCCTCCTTCTCTCCCATTTCACTTTGAGGCTATGACAACCTTGGGCTTTCCCTGGGTACCTCTCAGTTGTACCTCAGCCTGGTGAGCTATAAACACTCATGTTTTGATGATTCTGGGATAAGAATATAAATCCATGATAACCACCTTCACCAATTCACCAACATAATTGCAATTAGAACCACCACACAACTACCTACCTCATTCCTACTCCACAGCCACACCACTAATACCTCTCCTTCCCCAGCACCAGCTTACCTCCCCCCAACTTCATAGCCACCCCACTATCACATCCACAACCATCCTACTTCCTTTAATGAAAACTCATAATGATAGTGGCACTGATGACAGTCCAGTAATCCCTGTGGGAACTGTCTTGGCTTACCTTGTCCCATGGCTGAAGGCTGTTCTAACCCACGTGAGCACAGAAAATGCCTGCCTGGAACTGTGGTCTCTGGGATCTCTCTCCAAATCTGTCTTCCAGACAGGAAATGATAGAGTACATCTATTGACTTAAGAATCTGTAAATAGTAAAAATTTTCTCTCCACTGCTCTGTGAGCTTCCCGGCAGGCTTCTCCTCTCCTAATCCTTCCATGCTGGTATCTCCTAGACCAGATGAAGGGAGTAACCCCTTTAAAAAAAAGTTGTATCTCTTGTGACAGGAGGCCCAGGCAGGGGTATGACTGTCAGGCCTGGAGTGACAGATGTGGATGGAAACTGGAAACTCCCTGAAGAAACCTCTAGGCTTGTTTCATCAGCAGCCTTGAGAGACCCTCAGAGTTGTTACCTGGACGGTTCTGGGAGAAGTGATTCCACAAACAGGAGCCCCCAACTCCAAATCTCAGTCCCTAAACATAATATGGGCTGCAAGTTGCTTGATCCTCATGGGCTGTTTTGATAACATATATGGAGAGAACCTGCATGTCTGGATTCATCTGTGTGGAGGAGATAAGAGGTAGAGGTTGTTGGCAAAAAAAAAAAGCGTCTTTGAACATAAACAGAGTTTTTTGGGGGAGACCAGTGGGAGGTAAGAGAGGGTGGGAGAAGAATATAATTGAAGTATATTATACATATGTATGTATGAAAAGATCATAATGAAACCCATATAAAATCTGTAAGAAAGTTAAAAAAGAGGGGTTGAGGGATGAAGCATAAGCAAGAGTAATAGAGGGTAAGTATGATCGAAGTGCATTATATGCATGCATGAAACATCACCATGAACTCCCTTTACTTTGTACAATTAATACATGCAAAAATGTCCTAAAAGCAGAAGCCAGGACCCTGGATCATCCAAGACTCTTCTCTACTGACAGAGAAGGTTTGGAACTGTGTTGGGACTCAGCCTGGGTCAATTTCTCCTTGTTTTGTCACTAAGGATACATACACAGGAGAGGATCTCATATCTGGCCCTCCTTGGCCTTTTGGGGCTTTGGCTTGGGCTTCTGAGGCTGTGTCACCAGAGGCACACCCAGGGGCAGCTGTCCTTGCTGTATGTGCATGGGATGGCTACAGAAGGACATAGCACAGAGTACAAAAAACAGGGTACCTGTGGGCAGTGAAGCTGGGATTGAGGTAGAAAGGTGACTTTCTGCTGTTTGCCCTTTTATATTTTTAAAACTAGTACCTATTTGAAGAATCTTATGAAGTACAAAAGTGAAACTTCTGCTTCCTCCTTCCAAAAAAGAATTTTTATAAGAATTGAAGAAGTTAATTTTTCATTATTTGAAGATGATATAAGTTTTACCTGGAAAACATGAATGTACCTAAAAATTATGACGAAAGGTGTGAATCATTAGAAGCTGACTAGTACCAAAATTATAGAAGCCCATCTAGTAGGTTTCATATCTACAGTTAATAACCAATTAAAATGTAATTAAAGACCCAACTTACAGGTAGGTGCTATGGCTTATGCCTATAAATTCAGCTATGCAGGAGGTGGAGATCAGGAGGCTTGCAGTTTGAGGCCAACCCTGGGCAAAAAGTTTCCACAGTCTCAGAGAAAGAGTAAGTGATAGAGGGTGTTGATCTGATTAAAACACAATAGGCACATACCTGAAATAAGGCACCCCCCACCTTGAACTATCAATATACACTTAAAAAAATGAAGGACAGGAGGGTAAAACAGGTTCTGTCCAGGATGGATACTCATGGGAGGAGGAGGCAAAAGGAGAGGGTGAAAGAGGACGAATATGGTGAATGTATTTTGTATTCATTTATGAAAATAGAACAAGGAAACCTGTTGAAATTGTTGTAAGAAGGGGAAAGTTGGGATAAGGGAGAACAATGGAGGAGGTGAATCTAATTAGGATATATTGTAAGCACATATGTAAATGTCACAATGTACCTCCCCTGTATAATTATTATATGCTAATAGAAAAGGCAAATAAAAGATACTATCTCAACAAACAAGCTGGGTGTGGTGATACACACTTATAATCATAGATACATGGGAGGCATGGATAGGAGGAGGATCTTGGTCCTAGGCCTGCCTCTGGCAAAAAGTGTGAGACCCTATCTGAACCATAACCTAAAGCAAAAAGGGTTGGAAGTGTGACTCAAATGCTTGCCTAGGAAATGCAAGGCCCTTGAATTCAAACACGAGTGCGGCCAAAAAAAAAGACCCAATTTATAAAGGTCAACAACATTAAAAGGAAATGTTTTATTTCAGAAGTAAACTTAAGAACTGTGCAAGAGTTGTCAGGAGAAAAAGTTGGAAGGCTATAGAGAGACACACAAAAAAACTTAAGGTAGACCACAAATTTTGATAGGATACCAAGTTGATCTGAAGTTTAACACATCCTCATAAAAGCAAGATTTTCCTCTGACTCAATAAACTAATTCTAAGGTCCCAAAGGAAATTTCTAAGAGTAATGACCAGCCCTCCTAGATGTTAAAACAATATGGTATGGCAGTAACTTTAAAATGTAAGCATTAATTATATGCTGAATGGGACACTTTGAATCAGTGAAGAAAAGTATTCATCAGTAAATGATTTTGGTCTTTTTTTCCCCCTTGCTATGAGGCAGACTAGAAATGGGAAAAATTGGGGGCTCCTGTAGGCTGCCTGGGGATGGCCCAGACCACCCTCATCTGGCTGGGAACCACCCATGTCCCCTCCCCACTCCTTCATTATTGGGTGGGAATCTCCTGGTTCTGCCCTCCCATGGGTTAATGTAGGGTTTAAAAGCACCTGAAAAAGAAAAGCATGGTTTCTCTGCTGGCAGACTCTACCTGCACCCACTGTACCCCCTTTGTATCTCTCTTTCCTCACTTTTTATAAACCCCATTTACATCCACAAATTCTGCTTGGATTCTTCCAAGCTGAAACGCAGGAACCAAGGTCTTCTGAAAACATCATTTTGCTGTCAACAGCTACACTGGGGTTTGAACTCAGGGCCTCATGCTTGCTAGGCAGGTTTCTTACCACTTGAGCCACCCTCTCTAGCAGTAAATGATTTGGAGAAAACCGGCTTGCCAAAATAAAGTTGGATTCCTACCTTATACCACACCCCGAAATAATTTCCATATGGGTTGAGGAAGAAATGAGATACTTATTTTAAGTCGTCTTGGAAATGTCTTTAAAAATAAGCAAAATCCAAAAAAAAAGCAAAATCCAGAAGCATTAAGAAAAAATTGTACTTAATTTTTTTTAAATTAGAAAACTCAAAAAAAAAAGCAGTATAGAGTTCCAAGCCCCGCCCTAAATAATAAATAAATACAATGGGAAAACTCATGAGATTAAAAGACATGCAAAAAGTTGGGTAAATGTCGTATCACAAAGGGTTAATTTCATTAATATAAAAATTGCCCACAAATCAGCTGGAAAAAAAGAACAAGCAAGATGAAGGATAGGACAGACAATTTACAGAAAAGGAAGTGCAAATGTCTCTCATATACAGAAAAAGAGGTCCAGCCCCACTTAATATAAATGCAAAAATAAAACTACCTTTATGTACCATATATATGTATCTATGTATATATGGTATAGATAAATTTGAGTATTTGACGACATTCTGAGCTGGCAGTGGTTTGGGGAAACAGTGATTCTCTTGCAGGGCTGGGCGGAGTGTAAATTCACACAGTTTTTCGGTGAATATTCACAGAATAGGGTGTGAATACTCAGATGTCACAGTCTAGGTGGCTTAAACCACAGGCATTGCCTCACTGATCTGGAGGCTTGAAGTCTGACATCAAAGTGTCGTCAGGCTTGGTGTCTGGTAAGGCCTCTCTTCTGACTTGCAGATGGACACCTCCTCGCTATGTCCTCACACGGCCTCTTCTCAGAGAGATTGCTGGTACTTATTCTCTTTTTAATAGTGACACCAGTCCTATCAGATCAAGGTCGCTCTTATGACTTCAGTTATGCTTTATTACCTCCTTATATGCCCTCTCTCTAAACACACTTCAACACAAGAATCTGGAGGGGAACACAATTCAGTTTGAAACAGAGGGAAATGAAATAGTAGCTACAAAAACTTTAAAAGTCTATCCTTTTGAAATGCAAATTAAAACCACGCTAAGATTCCACCTCACCCCTGTTAGAATAGCCATCATCAGCAACACCACCACCAACAGGTGTTGGCGAGGATGCGGGGAAAAAGGAACCCTCTTACACTGTTGGTGGGAATGTAGACTAGTACAACCACTCTGGAAAAAAATTTGGAGGCTACTTAAAAAGCTAAACATTGATCTACCATTTGATCCAGCAATACCACTCTTGGGGATATACCCAAAAGACTGTTACTCCAGAGGCACCTGCACATCCATGTTTATTGCGGCACTATTCACAATAGCCAACTTATGGAAACAGCCAAGATGCCCCACCACTGACGAATGGATTAAGAAAATGTGGTATCTATACACAATGGAATTTTATGCAGCCATGAAGAAGAACGAAATGTTATCATTCGCTGGTAAATGGATGGAATTGGAGAACATCATTCTGAGTGAGGTTAGCCTGGCTCAAAAAAACCAAAAATCGTATGTTCTCCCTCATATGTGGACATTAGATCAAGGGCAAACACAACAAGGGGATTGGACTATGAGCACATGATAAAAGCAAGAGCACACAAGGGAGGGGTGAGGATAGGTAAGACACCTAAAAAACTAGCTAGCATTTGTTGCCCTTAACGCAGAGAAACTAAAGCAGATACCTTAAAAGCAACTGAGGCCAATAGGAAAAGGGGAACAGGTACTAGAGAAAAGGTTAGATCAAAAAGAATTAACCTAGAAGGTAACACCCACGCACAGGAAATCAATGCGAGTCAATGCCCTGTATAGCTATCCTTATCTCAACCAGCAAAAACCCTTGTTCCTTCCTATTATTGCTTATACTCTCTCTACAACAAAATTAGAAATAAGGGCAAAATAGTTTCTGCTGGGTATTGGGGGGGTGAGAGGGAGGGGGCGGAGTGGGTGGTAAGGGAGGGGGTGGGGGGCAGGGAGGAGAAATGAACCAAGCCTTGTATGCA